GACAGGGTATAATTGCAGTCCAGTAACAATTGCAAGGATGTGCATTGTCTTAGATGCCACACTACTCCACACACAAGTTCTGCAAAAGCAACAGACATATGCAAATATGTTTCTGTACAGGAGTCACATTTTTGGATTGCAAAAGTGCTGCAGTGGCCCATATATGTTATATATATCGTTCTTGTTTTCAAGGGTCTTTACATTCAGCATACTGCTATACCTTTACTTCTGTGCACAAACTTTGGTACAAAGTTTCAGTGCTGACTGATCTGACTACTCCTTGTTGCTAAATCTTGGCATGCCTTTCTCTGCTCATGTTTTTCCTAAGTTTATGGAACTAAATGCAAATAAGGTTGAAAATCTGTGCATGCTTATTGGGGATATGGTCCATGAAATTCAGTGGAACTTGCTTAGAAACCAGTATGTCCAGTAACCATTCTGGCTGAGAGGCACTGGAAGCTGTAGTCCATGGCTTTCCCAAGGTCTGGACTGGCTTCTCAGTAGATATGTATAGGATAAAGATATAACTCTATTTTTATTTCATGTGAGGACAATCCATTCCCATCAGCATCACTTTGCAGGGGGAGAAAAAAATCCTTCTTAGTATCTCCTCTTAGCTGAATATCTCAAAGTCTTGTAGAGCAAGAAAAATAGATTTTTGCACAGGATCCTCATGTGCATTTCATCATAGGCCATTCAAATACCCTGGTGGGTGTGAGGTGTACAAAATTCTTGCTGGTCTATTTTTTGTGACATGGTTTCCCTGCTGTTAGGAAATCTATTTTTCAACCTGAGAACAAATGATTATGAATATTCTTTCCATCTCTAGTAAGGGGTTCTTTTTAAAGAACAGCAACATACTTCAAATGATGTTCATAAATGTTGCCCTTTCACCCTTAATTGTACCTTGATAGACACTGAAGTGTCATTCTGGTTTTTTAAAATTTAAAAATGGTCCTAATCCAAAACATCTGCTTGAAAACATCTGAAGGGAATGTTTACAAAGTGCAATATGGCAGTAATATGTAAAGACTAAGGCCAGCACAGAAACTATTAAAGGGAGATTTCTGCATCAATGGTAACTGAGACACTTGGTTGGTAAAAGATATGAAATTTTGGTTATTTTTTTAAACTTTTGAATTGCATTAGATACATGTTGCTTGAATGCAAGACAAACTGAAAATGCAGGACTTTCCCATGAGTATTTCAGATATCATTTTGCACATTTCTACACAATGTATTTTGGATTAAAGAATATTTGAGATGTTTGTTTTACCATGGACCATGCATATTATATAATGTTTGTTATGAGGATCACATATTGGAAACATGGATGAATCTGACAAGTAGAATGATCCTGCATTTTGTTCTGTAACAGAGTTTTTTCTTCTTTGGTACTCCAGCTATTTTGGACTTCAATTTCCAGAAGCCAAAGCCACTATAGTGCATGGGAAGGGATTTCTGAGAACTTGTCTAAAACATGTTCAAGGCCAGACGATGTGAACTGCTTTTCTGTGTGCATTTTTCCCAATGGAGAGGTAGAAAACTGAGTGAATTGAGACACCCTCCCCCTCCCCCCAATGCCCCATAACAGGCTAAAATGTTTTTGTTTTTGTTTTTTTTTTGTTTGTTTTTTGCCATGGCTGGAAATGAGGTTTCACTTCTGAGATTGGTTATTGCAGGAAAACTTTTCATGGAGGCTTGAAGATGGGGTGAGGAGATGGAGAAGGGGACCAAGTGCAATGCTCTGTGGTGGTTTGGCTGTCAATGATTAGATTTTGGGAAGAGAAGGCTCCTCACTGGGTGAAAGGGCTGCAAAAAAAAAAAAAAAGCAGCAAGGATACAAGTGAGCCCTAACTGTATTTTCCCAACCCTGTCATAGTGGCTTGGGTAGCCATTAACCCAATGCTACATGTAGAGAATAGCTCGCTTCCTGTTTGACTTTGCCCTGTACAGAAGGCCAACAGAGTTTAGAAATGGCACTGCAGGTGCCTCTACACATTGTGTGGCCCAGGAAAAAGTGGCAGGAATGAATCCATGGTTTGAATTCATTAATGGAAGTGTCTTACCAGAGTGGGCTGCCCAGTCTTCATTCTGGTATAGTTGGGGCGGTGGGGCGTGTTAATATATTTTGTTGCTCAAACTCCTGCTAAGCAGTCAGACAGCCCATCCCCATCACCCCCTTTTCTTTGGATGTGCTTAAGCTGTGTCCGGCGGCCACTGGATTCTTATATATGTGCTTGTGTTCATACATTTAGCACAACTTGAAAGATGGTGGACATCAGTCCTGGATCCAAGATATGGATTACTGGTGTGTAGGACACTCACTACATATATCCTATTGGGGAGTGTGGGTAGAATGAAAATTCTACCTGGTGCAGGGGACAGGCCTTTCTGCAGTTCTGGTGACAAAGGACACCATGTCAAGAATCAGTGGTGTGGACCCTACCCTGTCATCCCATGGGGTTCCAGCAGAGGGCAACAATTGCAACTCATCTATCAACAGATGGCCAACCCTATCTAACAATGATAACCAATAAATTTGTGGCTTATTTATTTTTCTAATATCATTGCTGTACATTCCCGTTTATCCTGTAGAGCTCAGTTGCCTTTGTTCCGGCAATGTAAATTTTCAGAAATGTTAGTCTCGCAGGGAAGAGTGAACAATTTTACATTTTTTTTCTCCTTACTATGAGAAAGTAATTTAAAACTACACAATTTCCCAAGATTATTTGCAGTTCCAAGATTATTTGCAGGTGAACAGGTTTTTGGTACAATTGATTTTAACTTGTATTTTTACTCTGTATGTTTTGTTATATGTCTTTTGATAGTGTTTTATCCCTATTTATGATGTTGCAACAGAGAGAGAGTATTATTATTATTATTACTATTATTATTATCTGATACAAAACAAAATTAGTACAGAGCAAAGAAGATTGGTATGCTGGCTTTTGTATTGGGTCACACGTTGGGCACTTCCTTATTATTATTATTATTATTATTATTATTATTAGTAGTAGTATTAGTATTACAATGTAGAAAACAATTTTCCTGCTCAGAAAACAGAAAACTATTATATGTGTAGAAAATATTGATTTAAGCACAAAAATGTTATTTTCTGTGCAAACACTTTAAAAGCAAACACTTTTGCTCAAGTTAAAGTTGTAGTTCATTTTTTTTATTTTAAGCAATATGTTTATTGATCATGGCAAGGGAAACCTAACAGAGATGGCAGGAAGATTAAACAGGAATTGTGACTGGACACACCTTATTTACCAAGTTCTGTTGAAGATAAGGTCAGCAGCAGAGTTGGAAGTAATGTATTACTTGCAATAAGATGTTTTGATAACTACTTATTTTCCTGCAGCAGGGAAAGAGACCTCATTTGCTAGGGCAGTAACAAACTGCTCTCCCCTAGATCGTCCATGGAACCCACCGGATCCCATTAAACAATGCCAGCAGGGATCTATGGGTGAAGTAGAGCAGAGCTGGTGCATGCTCCTGCTGCGGCAACACTAAACACTTCCTGTATTGCCATAGGAAGTCATGGGTGGAAGCTGCGCAATTGATGTTTCCCCCATGGGATGGCCCTTAATTGAAGCCGGGTGATGCAGTGTGTGGAGCACCAGGTTCCCCACACACCCCAAAGATGCGAGACGACACAGGGCAATTCCAGTGGCCATGTGACAAGGCCACAAGGCTGTTCCTTTGGAGAAGGAAACAGGAATTTGATTCAGACCCCATTTGACTACCGAAACAGACCATCGATCCTGTTGGAACTGCTAGTGACAAGTGGTTTCCATTTCAGTGCCATAGTAAATCTGCTCTGCATTTTCGGACTGAATTTTTACAAAGGTATTCAAAGTGTTGAATCCTATCCCCAGAATAGATTCAGTCGTTTTAAAGTAAACAGTCAAACTGGGGTGGATTTATTGCCTAACTGACATGGGAATCACCAACAACTACTGATCAAAACTATGTGAGCTCCATCTTGGAGGATGTGCATGCAAAATGCAACAAAAAGCTAAAGGTTTTTCAGAGATTTTGTACATTGTGAAGGCATTCTACTAAGGTAATCTGTGTAAGAAAAAAACATGACTTTGTACATGAAGAGGCTTACAGATTATTTTCCTTCTTTCTGTTTGGCCTACTTTATTTGGCTTGGAGAAATAATGGTTTCATTTAGGAGTTGTTTTCAAGATTTTTAGAAAAGATGAATTGCTGCCAGAATATATTGTATGATTCTAACTGAGTGCTGTTTATCATTTCTCTTTTTTTTAGCCTTAGTATTAATGGTTAATATAATGTATGAATAATTAATATGAGATGATGGGCCTGTTTATGAAAAAGTTGGGGATATTTATTGTAACTTAGCAAATGGTCTTTAGGTGGTGCAACATTTTATTTTGCAACAGCTTCAGTTATTATAATGTGACATAAAAACAAACAAATGATGTTGCTGTTGAAATATCCTGGCTGTATTAGGATAAATAAACTTGGAAAGCAGGAATTATATAAGAAACATTTTGACTTACTTTATTGTGCAAAATTAGGAATCATAAGCTTCACACTTTTATTTAGGCTCAGTTCATTTGTAACACCAAACTTGGCTTTGAGAAATATGTTTATGTACATGTATATCCTGGTTTATGCTTGCCTTCTAAACTTGGATTGACTGGAAAAATATTTGGCTGGTTGAAGTCTTAAACTAGAGGACAATAGAAAACCATTGTTATTTGATACGTGCGAGAGAGAAATACTATTTGCACTATGAGATAAAATAACTCACTGAATATAATATATATATATATATATATATATATATATATATATATATATATATATATATATATCAGAAGAGATGGAGTATGAAAAGAGCATACGAACCACCCTGGGCTCATTGCAGCAGTGATAACTCATGCTGTAGGATGGACCATGCTCTGCATACTTTTGGAATCATAGCTTGAATCTTAACTTTCAAAGAAATAGGTTTTTAGCTGTTATAATTGCACAGGAAAATTTTAATCAACAAGGCAATATGTGGTAATGCCATAGAAATTGGGAAAATAGACCCCCTTATAATTATTTCTTATTACACATCAGGCATATGATTTTCACATTCACAGAATTTCAGATATATACTGGAAGGCCTATATGTCAACAAGTGATATAGCACAGCATCATCGTGTCACAGTCCTCTGACTGATCTATCTAAAGTAGACCTCATTATTGATCATGAATTCTGCTCCAGAGGTGAAAACCGTGTCAATTTCCTCTTTTCCTGTCATTGTGGGAATGAGAAATGTGAATGGAAACTTGAAATGATCTTTGTTTTATGCCACATGAGCTGAATTAAGAAGCCCTTGAAAATATGATTCAGGAGAAAATTCCAAGTTTGAATTGTCTCAATATTATGCCATCTTAATAATAATTCAGCTATTATTAATGTTTATTAATAATCTAGCAATGTAATTTGCAACTTTGCAGCTACTTTTGAACAGGGATAACATTCTGCAATGACAAAAATAAGTTTATCGATTGAATAAATACACTATTTTTCTTTTATATATATATTTATATAAATATATATATATATTACAAAACCCCCCATAGCAGTATGGGAAATAAAGATCCTTCTACAAAAAGAAGATGTTAAGTCAGTGTATAAAATAAAGCTTTAGAGTTTCAAAATAATATCTGGCCAAAAGAGAGATGTATACCAGTTTGAGGTGCTTATTGCTCCTTGACTTGGAAGGCTTAGGTGAAACCATTCATTAGGAACAAATTTAATCATACTATCCTTCTTCTCTTTTCCGGATATTGCACTTAAGAATTCTTGCTTTGTCAAGAAGGATTCAGTAGATCCAGCAGAAAAGGAGCCATTGTCACACAGATAGAAATAGTTAAGGGTGATGCTATGATACGGCCAATAGCTGAGCTTTCAGGTTGTTGGCGGAATGCAAGATCTGGATGTGGCTGCTGCTCCGGCTGGCTTGAAAACCAAATGGACGGGTTAACTGGGATATAGCTATTGGTTGTCCTGATGTACGAAGGCATGCTTGTTGTGCTAAAAGTAAAGAAAAGAACAAAATTATAAAATGTTTTCAAACTGGTGATATTCCCATAGCAAGTTTTTTATTGACAAACTAGAGACCACAAAGTAGAGCAGGGGGTCCTCAAGCTTTTTAAGTTCATGGTCCCTCAGACTGTTGAGGGGAGGGCGGATTATAGTTTGAAAAAAAAAAACAAACTGAACAAATTGCTATGCACACTACACATATCTTATTTGTAGTGCAAAAAATATGGAAGAATAATGCAGTATTTAAAAGGAGGAACAAGTTTAACCCACATAAATTTGGCAATATTTCCATGTGTGGGCCTGCTTTTGACTGATGAGATAGTCAAGTTAATTAGGATTCTTGTTGTGTGCTTTCAAGTCATTTCAGACTTAGGGTGACCCAAAGTCTAATGTTTAGGGTGGAGGCTGGGTAAATGACCTTGGAGGGCCGCAGCAACCTGTAGGTCTTAGTTTGGGGACCCCTGCATTAAAGCAGAGCTTTGCCACTGTTTTGAGGAGAAGTCATCACAATTAAGCTTTTCTTCACAGTGATTATGGGATAAAATGGTCTCATGAAAGGAGCCTTGTGTAGTAATATTGAGAAAAAAACACATCTACTAAAACAATGGCTTAGGGTGCATCTACATTGTAGAATGGATGCAGTTTACTATCACTTTAATTGCCATGGCAAAATACTATGGAATTCTGGGAGTTGTCACTCTACAAGTTTTCTAGCTTGCTCTGCCAAAGAGTGATGGTGCTTCACTATAGCGTCCAGGATTCCATAACATTGAGCCATGACAATTAAAGTGGTGTCAATCTGCATTAATTCTACAGTGTAGCTGCACTTACTTGTAATTTCTATAATCAATGGCTACAGTAGACACACTGAATCAATTTTTAAATCAATAAACACACACATCCCACTGAAGCACAACAGTTGCTATGCAGATATGGATTGCATCATGTAGTTGAATGAAGTATTGGCATTCTCGGAAAAATTCCATTTGATTTGTTGCCTTTATTTTCGCGCCCCCCCCCCCATTACTTCTTATCCACCTTTTAGACAACAATTTGATGTGAATACTATAATCTTTTACAAGCTTTTTATAAGATCAGAGTAAAATATGAGGGTTCTCTAGATAAGAAAAAAATGTAAATGTACATTATATAATTAGCGAATGAAAACATGTCAACAACAAAGTGTACTTGAGCAGTACCTCTTGTAATTACAGTAAGAAAGCAGGGCTGAACTGCAATAAGGATTCTCAGTTCTGTATAAATATTCCATATAGTAAAACAGATCTTAATTTGCTATGAGTCTTACTTTTTTTTTTGCATGTGTTCTCTTTATATTTGCACTTTACTCAATAGTTCTATTCTCTAATGTTGTGTCACCAATCCGCCCATCTTCGACGAGACACTGAACTTGCTTTTGGTTGTTGGTTCTGATGTTCATTTTAAATATTGTTTAAAATTGTTGTTTTTATTTTGTTATATTGTTTTGTTATTATTTTGTTAATATGTATTTTAATGTGATATGTTTTAACTGTTCTGTTGGGCTTGGCGTCATGTAAGCCGCCCCAAGTTTCTTCGGGGAGATGGAGGTAGGGTATAAAAATAAAGTTTTTTTAAGGCTTTGGAAGGCTTAAAAAATAGCAATAGGGGACAGTCAAGATTCAAGATTCCTAGAGCTATTAGATACAGATAATCACTGTTTAAAAAGGTTGTGTTCTTTCTCAATATCAAACAACCGTCTTGATTAAAGTTATATTTGTCATGCATTTCTCTGTAAAATTAATATATACACCAACTTTTTCAAACCCATTTCTTGACGTACAACCCTCTATATTCATGAAAATCTATATTTGAATCTTTTTTTGGCATACATCAACAATTTTAAATTGATTTTAAGCATAACAAAAATAGCACAGAGACAGATGGATCAGAGTCAAACTACAAACTATCATATAGCACTTTTCCCTAATGACAAGTTTGATGAAACATCATATAGTCCTGGTGTCTCACTGCATTTTTAAAATTAATCCACACAGCCGGAAGATTGGCATTTAACATATAACTTGGGATAGGGTGGTATGGAGTCATTTTATGAAGAGAGCAACCCAGACTTGTATCTGACTCTCTTTTTTAAAAAAAATTTGGACAGTAGCTCTCAAAATACCTTTGGGGTTTCTTTTATTAAGATAATAACTTACACATTGAAACTATTTCTTACTTCTTAGATGGTCTTTCAACTTCTGCAGCAGAAGCAGCTTAGGTAATTTGTAACACTATTTATTAGAAAAGAGTCAGTCTTTCCTTTTGTTTTTTTATTAATGCTTCCATTAGAAAATGCATAAGTATGTGGGTGAACTACAACTCCGAAATTTGTGGGTCAGTCCTCCCCAAATCCCATCAGTATTCACAGTTTGCCATCAGTATTCACAGTTTGCCATGTTGGGTCTGTGTGCCAAGTTTGGTCCAGATCCTTCATCAGCTGGGTTCAATGCTCTTTGGATGTGGATGAACTACAACTCTCATATGTCAAGGTCAATCACACCCAGTCCCCATCACAGGGTTCTCTGGATGCAGGGAGAACTACAATTACCATCATGTTGGGTCAACCCTCCCCCCCCCTCATCAGTATTCAAAGTTGGCTATATTGGGTATTTGTGCCAATCAGTTGGGTACACATTGTTTTGTTGATGTGGGTGAATTATAACTCCCAAACTCTGAGGTCAAACCCCATCAGTATTCAATGGCATGCTGGGTATGTGAGACAAGTTTACTAGTTCCACCCCCAGTTTGGTACAGAGTCCTCTCTGAGTGTTGGTGAACTACAACTCCCAGAATTCAAAAACAGAATTCAAAAACAGTCCCCCCCAATCCCACTGATATTCAATGTTGGCCATGTAGGTAGTGCACCAAGTTTGGTGCAGATACATTGTAGGCTGGGTTCAGAGTGCTCTTTGATTGTAGGTTAACTATAAATTGTAGCAATTACAACTCCCAAATGACAAAATCAATCCTCCCCCCAACCCCAGCAGTATTCAAATTTCAGCGTATCAGGTATTTGTGCCACATTTGGTCCAGATCCATTGTTGTTTGGGTTCACAATGCTCTCTGGATGTAGGTAATTACACCTCTCCTAAATCCCTGTCAATTCCACCCAAATTCCTCCAGTATTTTATGTTGGTCATGGGGGTTCTGTGTGGGAAGTTTGTCCCAATTCTATCTGTGTGTCGGGGCCCCGGGGGGGTCACCGAAGACCATCAGAAAACACAGCATTTTCTGTTCGTCATGGGGGTTCTGTGTGGGAAGTTTGGCCCAATTCTATTGTTTATGTGGTTCAGAATGCTCTTTGATTGTAGGTGAACTATAAATCCCAGCAACTACAACCCCCAAATGTAGGTGAACTATAAATCCCAGCAACTACAACTCCCAAACTCCACCAGTTTTCACGTTTGGACATACTAAGAATTTGTGCCAAGTTTGGTCTAGATCCACAATTGTTTGAGTCCACAGTGCTCTTCGGATTTAGGTCAATGCCACCAAACCCTTCCAGTATTTTCCCATGGGAGTTCTGTGTGCCAAGTTTGGTTCAATTCCATCCTTGATGGAGTTCAGAATGCTCTTTGATTGTAGGTTAACTATAGATCCCAGCAACTATAACTCCCAAATGAGAAAAATCACCCCCCCCCCCCCACCAGTATTCAAATTTGGGCGTATCAGGTATTTGTGACAAATTTGGTCAAGTGAATGAAAATATATCCTGCATATCAGATATTTACATTACAATTCACAACAGTAGCAAAATTACAGTAATGAAGTAGCAACAAATATAATTTTATGGTTGGGGTCACCCCAACATGAGAAAGTGTATTAAGGGGTCACAGAGGAGTAAGGTTGAGAACCACTGCATTAGTCAAAGGCAATCTCTTTAGAGCAACTATTGTTGGAAGTAAGAGGCAAAGAGACTCCTGTCTGCATTAATATAAATATTGCTAGCAGACCAATATGAGAAAGTGGCATTTGGGAGCAGTAATGTCTTTTGTATTCTTTCTGGTAAGTGAACTCCATTTTGTATGTTCTCTCAATGTAGTGGAAGAGAAGCATATCTTCACCTCCTCATTTCAGTTGAGTAGTATTTAGCAGTCTTTAGTGCCGTGATGCAGGAGATGTGTGCTTATGAATTATATCCCCCCCCCCCCCCCGTGTTTAGGTTATGCAGAGACTTGCCTAACAGCATCAAATCATACTGGATCAAAACTTCTAAAAGATTAATGGTTTTTAAGTTATTAACATTGGATTCTTCTTATACTCACTAGCTGTTACAACCAAAGATTGAAATAAATATGCCACCATGTGATACAGTTTTTGTACTTAATGCATTTTAGTTGGAATGAATTTCAAATGAAGCTACTTTTCTGGTCAAAGCAATAAGGGCCTTGGTCATTCCTCTTCTCCAAAGGAATAGCACTTTACAGCATTATGTATTTCAGCCCACTCTTTGTCCCAACACAAATTGGTCTCTGTGTCCTTGCTTTTAATTCTTCTTATTTTTCTAAACTAAAATCCAGGCCACATGGGACACAAATGGCTTCCTAGAAAGACTATAAGTAATGCAAAAAGCTTTTTGTAAGAATTATTTATGTCAATTCTGAGAGAAACCTACATCTCATGGGTGTGCTACCATATGTTTTTACCTTATTTTGCTTTGTTTAGATTTTGACTGTTTCTTCTCAATGTAAGCTGCAGAATCATATATTTGTTATGTTATTATTTAATTCTTGTTAATCTGTTGTCACTTTTGATGTAGATGTGGTTTGTTTTAGGTTAGGGTGGGGTGGATTATTTGTCTTGGTCTAGTTTTTATGGCATCGAATATTTGCCAATACTTGTTGTTAACCGCTCCCCTCAGGGAGATAAAACAGGATATAAATAAAGATGATGCTGATGACGATGATTGTTATTATTGTAGTTCATGTGTCTTCATTTCTAAGAAAGCA